TAAAACAAAACTCCTAAATGATTAAAAAACTAAAAACAGAAGTCAAGCACACTTAAAATATCCTTCTTGAAAGGGACCGTGACGAAAAAATCACCCTGTATTGTCGTTGCGAATGTATACTAGTGAGCCGAATATTTCGTTGATATGCGTTTATATTAAATTCTGTAATAATTTGATGCGTATAGGTTCTCGCACAATAATCGTAAAGATTTAATTATTTTCGCAGGCGTTTATTTATTAAAATACATTGCAGTGTAAATAATAATAGTGCAATTTGTAATATGACGTTCTACATTGTATTTATTATAATTATTATTAAATTAGAGACTCACTTAATTTTGGTTTTAATTATCGATTACTGATTCCCCGTAGCATTATGTCCAATACCCAATAGCCATAGATATTGTAAATAATTTCAAACCTCTGATTAAAATAACGTTTTCTTTAACAATATTTGTTTAGCAGACGATTAATTCGTATTATTTATTAATAATCGAAAATACGTCAAATTACCTACAGAATAAAAAAAAAAAAATAAACAATGAACTATTCGTCAATAATTTTATTTGCTCTGTGCCGACACCGCCGGGCTTTTTGCACGCTCTAAGTTTTCAAGCTCCTCCGTCTATGTACGTTTTTATTGTAATTTTCATTTTGTACTCTGTCGTCGGAATAATTATCATTATAACAATACACCTATTATAGGCCTAGGGTATACATTTTTTTTTCACATCAAGAAATTTAAAACAAATAGCAAAAATAAAACTTATACAAATGATCAGCCCGTCGGCTCAGTTATACGTTCGTTTAATGAAAATAGCCGGGTGAACTACATTTTTAAAAAATGGTTCATATAAATTGCTTGCAATCTGTCAAAAAATGCACATAATATTTTAAGGTATTGCGTACAAATAATTGAGTATTTCTTTTTACTCGCCAAAATAACAAGTAGCCATTTTTTTTTTTTGATAACAAATGTTTAAAAATAATGTATAATCATGATGCGAATTATCTGTATCGTTAAAGATATCGTAAAGGAAAAATAATCAAATTATCTATAGTGACTATGTTATACATTTTTATAATAATATCCATGCTATTGGAGTGCTAAAAGTCACTTAGTGATTCTCCTAAAAGATGATCTACATACCGAAATATTAAATTTTATCTCTTTTTATTATTTTTGGTAAATTCTTAGATAATACACGATTGCATTAAATACTATGATATTAATTTATTTATTTATTATTTAAAAACACGGACTTGTGTCCAATTACAGAGAATATATGACAGTTTATAACGTTTATATACGGAATGAATGAAATAAAGTCAGAGAGAAATAAAACAAAAAGAACAATATTGAAATGAGTTTTTATAAATATATATAAATCACGACGAACACTGTTACCAGTGGTTGACAAAATATTAATTGAAGAAGACAACGCATAAGTCTGTGGATAAAATAGAATATAAAAAATAAACAAAAAATAAAATAAAAAATAAACGTGTTACGTGTATGAACCTTAAAACTAATCTAACTTAACAACAATCAGTCGTCAATATTGTTATTTAATAGTTTTTTTTTTTTTTTTAAGGAATAGTAATAATCAATTGTTCTATCTTGAAGAGATTTTAGGTTTAAAAAATTAAGAATATCTTTATATATTTGAAGGAAACGTGTCAGAGAAATGTATTTTGGACACCCTCGATCAGATTAGAATGGTCAATATCACGAGTTTTCCCGAATAATCGTTGCGTATTCCTCGCATTTGCAATATATTCACACTGTATTATCGGCACCTAATTCAAAAATATGTCATAAAATTATGATTTGTACTAAAAAAAATTTAATTTTCAAAAAAGTACCTAATGTTAACTCATTACTAGTGCTCGTACACCGGCCGACTCTGAATATTTCACAACGTATTTATTTTTTTCCGAATTTCTTTCTTCACCTATAGTATTTATTGTCTTAAGATTACATTTTATCATATTTTGATGTTATCCAGATAGCTGAAAATTACCTTACATCTAGATAGAAATATGTTATTATCGCTTAACTTTCCCCGACACTAACGGTAATAAAATCTACGTAATTATTACCGACAAAACTATGTTAATAATGTAATATTTGCTGATGTCTGACTACATAGTGATTATAATATTATTATATTTTGTGCATAGGTTTCTGTTTGTAGTTTGTTTCTAAATTCCGAGTACGATATAATAGTATCAAGTAAACACGCAGTTGTCGGTCGTGATGAACTGAGGAGAATACTATACATTGTGATAAAATAATCTCTTCCTTGTTTAATATTAAATTGTATACCTACCGTATACACCTGCTGTAATATAATACTACTACTAACTACAACTTAAATTCTGAGTGGATCGATAAATGTATTGTTTTTTTTAATAATGTTTATTGTTAATATTTTTATTATTTTTTTTTTTTTTGCTGTAGACAACTTTTTCACCAGCTTCGAATTTCAAGTATAGCACATTTTCCGAAAGGAAATCTGACTGGAGTGGTGAATTAAGGAGGCCATTTTGTGATCTTCCCATCAGTTTTTCTAATAAATCGGAAAAACGAGAAAACGTACGAAATGTATTGTTTACAAATCGTAAAGTTTACGGCCTTTTAAAACATTTATAACAGAACAGCTTTTCGTTAGCCAAGATAAATCGTTGCGTACAGATATATATTGAATTCCTCTCTATATACTAACTTCTCAACTTCTCTTCCAACAATGGCCCACCCGTCGTGCGATGTATATACTTTATACTATATATTTCGATTTTTTGGTATAGGTATGATTTTATATAACTCACAAATTGAGCATAGTTAAAATTTCGTCAAAAACGGATTATTCGTCAATATTAAATTTCAAAATACATTGCCAATTTTGTAACTAAGAAAAAACTTTTTGTACAAAATTTGTTTAAACAAAAATACTTCTATCCGAATCTGTAATAAAAAAATGGTGTGCCATTTAAAGAAGAGTAAGTTACCGATGTACCGAAAGGGTTAAAAATTTGAAATTTGTTTGAAAATGCGTATTTCGGTACTCCCTATAATTCGCCGAATACTCCATTTCAATACTAGATCATCCAACTAACATATTTATTGGAGGCACCTCTTAGCATGAACGCAATATTTTTTTTTATAGTCGTTTATTTAATGAGTGTCAATCGATAATTTAGTGTAGGTATTAAATTATGGAATGATGTTAACAATTAAAGTCCAATAATCCGATAAAGCTGTTTTAGTATAGTGATTTATTCCAATCGTATTAGGGTTTTTTTTTTTTTTAGCGAGGAAGCGAGGAGTGTAATGGATTCTAATATCATATCCATACAAACGCCACATAGAACAGGAATCTCGTACGGCCCTCCCCAAAGTAAAAATATATATATAAAAAAAAATAAGCGGACAATTTAATCAAATATCATTTTCTTACGCTCAACAAATTTTCAATTTCTTATAAATTATACGTCGTATACTGTGTTGTTATGCGATCGAATCGTTTAGATTTTTTGTTTTAATCACGAACGGTATTTAATTTATCGGAATAAAATAAATGATAAGACGTGTTATCGATAAAGTAAAGTATAGGGACATCTAGTAGCTTCAGCTACAGCTCCGGATACTACTGGGTTTTTTTTTTGCTATTTGGTGGAAACTGTATTCTAGAAAAAAAACTTCACAACGCCACTGTCTTCTCCCTTCTTAGCAACAATTCCCCGTTACGGGGCGATGATAATAAGTAATCTATAATTAAGTGCGTCTCTTTTGTAACTTTGTGAACACTGTACGCACTTATTTTTTTTTATCCGATCTACAATAATAATTTGATTATAAAACAACAGAGACTCATCCATTTCACATTTTTCGGGTACCGTATTCTAACGGTTATCGACGCGTCGGTATCATTTACAATTACAACAGATACTTATAATTTTAACAATGCCATTATTTTCACGGACTTCGAAACATAATAATATGCTAATATGATTATTTGTATAAATAATATTATAATCAGTTTTGAACACCGGGCTATAATATTGTTAAAATGTTAATTTAAAACATTTTTTTTTATTTCATCTTATCTCTTGCTAGTGCATTCGTGAATTCTCCACCCATTTACCCCCCGAAATAACCCCATGAAAAATACGTGACACAACTATCTACGGACATTTAAAGTGCATTTGATTTCGGTTTATTTTCAAAATAGTTGTTATAGAATTTAATTGACGAGTAAAATATTCCATTTTAGATTCAGAGTGTAGCAAACAATGTAATGTACATACAAAGATGTTAATTTTTTTTTTATGTGAACACTTTTTCTGCCAGTAAGCCTACTCATATGTGTGCAATGTAGATTTTCGGAAAGGAAATTTTGTCCGGGGCGGTACTTTAGGAAGGTCATTTTTCGGTTTTCCCAGTAGTTTTCCCAATAAAAGGGAAAACGTACGAAATATTTTAGTAAAATATTACGATATTTTTTTTTTTTTTTCTGTGGATAAAGCTTGATTCGTTAGTTCATTAATCGTTAAACGGGTTGTACAATCCGTGTATTTTGTTCCGTTATAATTGATATTAATACGCCATTGACGATGGTTGTTAGATAATAATGTGATAAAATTGAAAAAAAAAAAACAAAAAAAAAACGGCAACATATCACTACTACAGGCGCGCCGCCGTTACAGGCGTGAATCCGGGAAGGGATATAATGGAAACCAATTAGTTTGTGCAATGTTAAAACAATTCCGATTAAGGAAATAATCCGCGGACGTCGGTCGACAGTTCAGATTAGATGTGGCTGCTACTCGTATATTACAGTCGCGTTTTTCCCTCGTTCGGTTACCGGCGAAACCCGGAAATAAAATTAAAAATACTTTCGTGTTCTTATCTGTTGTTGGTTTTCAAACGTTTTTTTTTTTCGAACGATGACGAGGAACTCGCTGAAATAAAATTAAAAAAAAAAAAAAAAAAAAATCTTCAAACAAAATATTACACGACGAAATATCCGCATTTTCGGAAGGGGCTTCGTTACGATCGTTTGATTTGTCGGGCCTATAACCGGTGCGCGATATTGCAATAAAGGCAATCCGCGTTTCCACGATTTTCACTCGCCGGTTGAATCGATAGCAAAGAGACTCGTTGTACGTTTTATAAAGACGATTATTTACTAGGGTTTTATCGAACGATTGTGTTCAGTATTTTCATTTTTGATCGAACCGCGCGTGTTTTGATTTCTCTTGGTTTTCACCGTTGCGGTAATTAAAAAAAAAAAAAAAAAAGAAAGAAAAAAGCCACAAACTAATTTACGTGGGTGTACGTCAAGATTTTGCTTTACCCGCGGTCGACAATAGCGCACGGTGAAATCGTCGATAATTGCTGCATAACGCCGCGCCGCTAACATTTCATCCGGCCAGCGAACACGATGACGCGAAAATAATGGCAGTCGAACATTGACCGGAAATACCGCACCGGCCCCGACGTCCGCGCAGCGGCGGTCGTTTATCAATCTATTAAGAGATTACAATATTATTATTATTATTGTGATTATGCCGGACGATTATCATTAATATTTTGATTTTCGTTATCAGATCTCGGCGTTTCGCGTCGCGTCCGGACCGGGTCGCGGCTGTTGCCCAATTAAACGGCAATAAATCGCACGCCCTTGCCCTGCCCCTCGAAAGTCATAATACCTGTCGTCCGCACGTTATACAACCCGACGCCGAAATTATACACGGTCTATACTCCGATGCGTGCGCACGCGCGTGTATTACTATCGTACACAATAAAAATTAATAAGAAATAATAAAAAAAAAAAATGTAATATTCTCTTGGACGCGATCGTTGCCCGACCGACCGGTTCTCGGCTAATTGTTAAGCCGTAATATATTACACTTAAGTAGGTGTATACCGTACCCACCCGCCGCGTCCGTCTTGCAAACGTACGGCGTGGCGAATTCGCGTCCAGCAGGGATGATTTCGCGCCGTTACCGCTTTGGTTGGGTCTCGGGTTCACGTGTTTTCAACCGTAAACACGAGCACATCGTCTGCGGGTCTGTTTTTTCGGCATTTCAATTTTTCAAGCGAAATTCAGTTTTATTAAATATTGGCAATCACATTCGGTAGGTAACACACGCTCATCGTATCTCAATGGAGGGGTCTTTAAATTAAATTCGACCGTCGAAAAAATTTCGCCAGAGTCGCGCAACTAACGGTCTGGTCTTTAGGTTCGATAGTGGGTCGATTCTTCGCCGTAATGACAAAACCGACAGCACAGCTCTCGTATTCTATGCCGTGCGGTTTGCAAGACGAAGACGACAACATGCGGGTATCTCGTCGCTAACATACATTTGTTTTCTCTGTCCGTTTCACACGTCGTAATATTATTAGCTATGTATCCGGGCCAAGAGATCTACGTTCAGTGTTAAGGGGTTACGTATTTATTTTACGAAAAACAATAATTACCGTGTGAATTATACGAATGATTTTTTTTTTTTAAATTTTCATTTTTCTCGAGATATGTTTAGGTATTAATCGTGTTCTTTTGCAAATTTTAACCGATGAAAAAATGTAAAATTTAAAAAGAAAAAAATCCATAATAAACACTATTCCTTATAAAATATACAATATTCATCTTTGCCCTAAACTTATGTGGAAATACGGTATGCCTTCGGTGTTATGCTACGCGAAAGTCAGACGGAGATTTTTTTTTTTGTTTGGTAATATTTTAGAAAAACAGCAACGCACTGTCCTCGAAAATATTCTTCTCGTTCATTTTCGTAATTTGTGTTTAAAATCTTATTTAAACCTAACCGCCACAATTTAAATTACTAAGTAAACTATGTTTACTGCGCTGCACTCGTTTTTTTTTTTTAGACTAAGACAGTAAGATGCGGGTGTGGTGTCCTCTAAATAATTTATAGTTTGAAGAAAAAAACTATATTCAATAAGAAATTTTCGGTAACAATAATTTGAATAACAATTTAGAAAATTGTAAAATTTTGCTTTTGAGGTCATTTTTGGAATGTTGTCGTCAATATGTATTTTGTGTTATTATTGGGAGTTTAATCTCTAAAATTACTTTGAAATGTTACTATTTTGCACTTAATAATCTATAAAGGTTTTTGTGAACATATTTTTGAACTGGACTACACTATTTTTATACGATTATTATCTGAAATTGTACTGGGATATTATTTTCGAATTGAGCAGTGCTCAATTTTAAACAAAATTACTTAAGCTAAAACCACTTCTCGCTATCTCCCTCCGTCGTCTCTCGTCGTTTAAAAGTTAATATACTGCGACTCGATAAGTATTATTATATTTATAAATCACTGTCCTGCCAAGGAAAAGGGTTTTTTTTTTTGTTCGTCGCATATTTTTCGGGCACAAGACGATTTATATACCACTAACGGCGATGACTATCGCTTTCGCGCCGAAAGAATACGAAGGGCAGGTCACCTCCCCGCCAATTTTTCTTTCGGTCCGATTTACCACCACACACAATCATAATACATTGACCGACACAATAATACTCTGCGTCATTATTGTTTATCGATATTAATTGCCCGTACTCGATATCTATCTATTTCCGAAGCATTTCGCCGTTATTATAGTTCCCAAGTGTCTCAAACCGTTTTTAAAAATAGTGCCAAATCTAAAGGATTTTGGACAATTTCTGTCACCGACATATATAGTTTCGCGCTGAGCGATGGCATTTAAAAGTTTTCTAACAGTTTACAAGTGCAGACGGTATATCTGATATCTAACCCTAATTTAAAGAGAGAAGACGTGGTAAAATTTTCAAAACATTTGAGCCATTATTGAGCTATTTATAGACATTTTAATTTTGCGAGTATTTTACGAAATTTTTATTCGGTAGGCGAGTGCCTCTTTGGAGACGATTGGTAGACCAAACGGAAATGCATGAACAGTTAACAAAAGGTTCATTATAAGTGGTATTTGGGGTTGCAAAAAAATTGAGTTTACTGTAGAATTTTTTTTATAAGAATTTGAATATCAAATTTTGTCAAAAATCGTAAATGTTTCGGTTTTTAAAATCATGTGCAACCGAAGTCCACTCGGAATCGTTTTTCGTTAGCCATGACTATAATCATTACATACTGATATGTGTTAAATTTTCCCCTACATTTCTTCCTAACGTTTCATTTATAACAGTGGCCCATCCAATGTGCAAAGTATGTCCGTATTTATTTTTTTTTTTTTTTTGTGTCCATACATTTTTTTTCTGCCGGAAATTTTGTTCCGATCAAAAGTTTTCAGGAACTTTCGTGTAGGATTTTTAATCTAGTTGATGCGCTAAGAAGTCATTTTTTTGATTTTCTTTGTAGTTTTCCGAACAAATGTGAGAAAGTTAGGAAAACACGCTTTCCGAGCTTTCAAAGTTCTGTTTCTAAACATATTTTAAACAATAAAATATTATTCCATTTGTAAGTTTAAAAGAATTCGGCGACCAAGTATGGAATGCTTATGCGTAGAAACTCAAACGGATATAATATCTTAATTAGAAAATATTTGACAGGGCATTTTTGCAATTCTTTGAGTGATTAGAGAATATTTCGGTACCTATTTTTTCAATATTGGGTGGGTGGTAATGCATTATATGATACATAATTTAATAATCGTGTTTAATTTTAATAATAACAATTATAGTATATTATAACAATAATAGTATTGCGGATGTATGCTTGAACCAGGTCTACCGCACTGCCGTGGCCGGGCACGGTATTGACCACAAAAGAGACCTGTCCGCATTCGAAATTTCAACCAAATGCGTTCGGCCATTACAATGTTTATGTTTTACGGTTTTATCGTTTCAAATGTGCCACGGACATGACGCGGTTGGCTTTTCATAGTAATTTCGGCATTTATCATAGGCATTTAAGTCTTGTTCGGTTAAACGGTTTACAATTACCTACGTGGTAAATTAAACGGGTGTTAAGCGTTAAGCGTCGCTTCGATGTTTTTAAAATCGACGGGGACACGCCAAATAGACGTGCTGTTGTTTTGTATTAAAAAAAAAAAATCTATATATATATATAAAATTTCCGAGCTTTATTCAATATGTATAATCAATACCTATAGGTGCTATTTATTAACGTTTGATTATTTGTGTTTCCGTTGTTTCCGTGTTTATAAAAATCCTTTAAGTATGCCAAGAAAGTTATGGTTGTCTTTTAGGCGTGTTGTTGCTATTACACAGTAATTGATATTTTGTAACACTGACGCACATACATAATTTTGAGGAAAGGATAAATTAATAGTACCGAATAACTTCCAGCACGTATGGTGTGTTTTTTATTTTTTTTTTTTTGGTTGAACAGAAAAAAAAACCCGGCGAAATTCGACACATGCCATCAAAATAACTGTATTCGTTTGTATAATTTTGATCGATTTCCGGGTAACCTTGACAACGAAGTGAAAAATATAACTATTTTTACCAGACTCAAAATCGTTTGTCGTTACCAATGGTTTTCCGTTGCGTACATGTATGAATTAAATTATTCTACATATCCATATGCATGCACGTCTATACAAGTTTTAGCATTGGGAAATGCTACGTGGGATGCTCCCTTCAAATATTTCTCGAAAAACAATGGCACGCCTATCGGCAGTATAGGCCTTTTTTTTTTATTTTACATTGAAACGTACATCTGCACTGCATACCCCCTGTCCACTGCAGTTACCACAAAGCATATAGTCCAATTAACAATATTTTAAATATTTTACCTATTTTCACGTTTTTCCCTTGTTTTGTCCTAGGTTATCCCATTTATTGAGAAAATAAAAAATGTAACGTCTTCAAAGTGTACCTCCCTAGTCGGATTTCCTTTCAGAAAAAGTGCTACACTTGTGAATCGGACTGAGATTTCCGGTACAAGAGTTGTTCATAAATTTAAAAAAATATATATATATATTTATACATATGCATCATTGTAAAAAACCAATACATTGCTCCCTCCGCTCAGAATCTAAAATGTCCAAAGGTCCAAGTGCCATCTCTGCCACTGATTCTGCTCACTGTTCGGAATAATGGTTTCTCGTTAGTGGTTATATTTATACTTTTTTTTCCAGTTCGTTTTCACAATACTGTTGTAATTATTTTTACCACGCGTATACAACGGTATATTTTATAGCTAACACCCGGGTTGCGTCCGGCAACAAAATACCGAGACGTTGTGCGCATTATGCGCGCGATAAAACGGTCGCGAGTATTTATTTATTTTATTTTTTTTTGTTGTTTTTAACTGTCGCCCGACACGACAACGCGTAGGCCGCAGGTACCCGTATAACATTATAGTATATATTATTCGGTCCAATTAAATCACACCCTTTGGCGGTAATCAACTCACCGAGTACTGGCCGCTGGTGTTGTCGGTGTAATTCGAAAATTATTCTGCGGACATTGTCGGATAATATGTATTTTTTTTTTTTTATATATATAATTTAATGTCG